AAGGCCGTGAACTGACTAGCGGGTGAAAATAGATGAAACGTAGTGAACGCAAGAGTCGACGAGTGCGATCATACCATCACTAATGCACCGGATCCAATCAGAACTCCGTAGTGAAGCGTGCTTGGGCGAGAGTAGTACTAGGATGGATGACAAGAAAGGGTGGAACACGAGGACTTCCCAGGAGGTCATCCATCCTAGTACTACTCTCGCCCAAGCACGCTTCATTGCGGAGTTCTGATGGGATCCGGTGCATTAGTGCTGGTATGATCGCACTGGTCGACTCTTGCGTTCACTACGTTTCATCTCTTTTCACCCGCTAGTCCGTTCACGGCCTTTCGTCGTTCTTTTCTATTTTAAATATAGCCGCAAAATCTGAGTTCTCCGGTTTTTTTCTCAACGGTTTGGTTCTCGTACCATTTCCGCCTAGAACAAACAACAACAGAACAAACCCATGCCGAACAAACGAACATCGGTGGAACGAGATCCGTTGGAAAAAATGGCGCAACACGTGCAACCGGGTATTGCATTAGAATTTATCAAACAAGACAACGGTTATCGTCTCCGTTAACCCAAAATGAGGTGTGAAAAATAAAAAAACATCAATCAAATATTACAATAAAAGTAAGAGTTATTTGGAGATAAAAAACCCTATGGCCATGGAGTCTGAGATGCAATCCATGTATGACAACAAAGTGTGGACTTTGGTCGATTCATTCGATGGTATTAAGACCATTGGATGTAAGTGGGTTTTCAAGAAGAAAACCGACATGGATGGCATCGTGCATACCTATAAGGCACGACTCGTCGCGAAAGGGTTTCGGCAGATTCATGGTATAGACTATGATGAAACCTTTTCACCAGTTGTGATGCTTAAATCCATACGGATTGTGCTGGCTATAGTTGCGTATTATGACTATGAGATATGGCATATGGACGTCAAGACCGCATTCCTTAACGGGAATTTGCTCGAGGATGTGTACATGACACAGCCCGAGGGTTTTGTCGATCCTAAGAGTCCGAGGAAGGTGTGTAAGCTTCAGAGATCCATTTATGGACTGAAGCAGGCTTCGAGGAGCTGGAATCTTCGATTTGACGAGGCAGTCAAAACGTTTGGCTTCCTGCAAAACGAAGATGAGCCATGTGTTTACAAGAAGGTCAGTGGGAGCGCAGTGGTCTTCCTTGTACTTTATGTGGATGATATATTGCTCATCGGAAATGACATTCCTACCTTGCAAGGAGTAAAATCCTGGCTAGGATCGGTCTTTTCGATGAAGGACTTAGGAGAAGCCGCCTATATTCTAGGAATCAAGATCTATAGAGATAGATCGAGAAGGCTTCTTGGTCTAAGTCAGAGTACATACATTGACAAGGTCTTGAATCGGTTCAAGATGCAAGACTCCAAGAGGGGTGCCTTGCCAATGGGACATGATGTGGCTCTTAGCAAGACTCAGTGTCCAAGGACACAGGATGAGCAAGAGCGCATGAGTAGGATTCCATATGCCTCGGCAATTGGATCCATCATGTACGCCATGTTATGTACTCGTCCGGATGTATCATATGCATTGAGTATGACTAGTAGATATCAGTCTACACCAGGTGAGGCTCACTGGATTGCGGTCAAGAACATCCTTAAGTACTTGAGAAGGACTAAGGATTTGTTCTTGGTGTATGGCGGATTGGAAGACGAGCTCGCTATAAAGGGTTATACCGATGCTAGTTTCCAAACCGACAGAGATGACTTCAGATCGCAGTCAGGTTACGTTTTCTGTCTAAACGGTGGGGCTATTAGTTGGAAGAGTTCCAAACAACCAACCGTTGCAGATTCGACTACAGAAGCCGAGTACATAGCAGCATCGGATGCAGCTAAAGAAGCTGTTTGGATCAGGAAATTTGTGGGAGACCTGGGGGTCATTCCTAGCGTTGCAGATCCCATTGACTTGTATTGTGACAACAATGGTGCGATCGCACAGGCAAAGGAACCCCGGTCACACCAGAGATCCAAACACATACTTAGGCGATTTCACTTGATTAGGGAAATCATCGACAGAGGAGACGTGAAGATAAGCAGAGTGTCGACAGATGATAATATTGCCGACCCGTTGACGAAGCCTCTCCCTTCGTCAAAGCATGATGGTCATGTTGTGGGTATGGGGATTAGATGCTTGTAGGATAGATCATAGAGCATAGTGGGAGATTGTTGGTTGTGATGCTCTAGGATGATCCGTGATATGACATTTTGACTATGTATTGATTCATTGGTTTATGAATGCATTACTTTTCCCGTTATATGATTAGCATGTTTGTTATATTATGGTAAATATCCTTGAATCATTGCAGATGATTCTAAATTTCCTGGTCAGTTATCATTGTGGGAACAATGATGAATTAAGACCAGCATGATGTGTGATAGATGATTATGATCATATGCATTAGATGCAAATCACAATCATGGGTTCTCGTTTGGAACGAGTTACTGGATGACCCGCATGAGATTGTCACATGGACATGAGTCATGACTTGAATCTCATACAGCGGTTCGTTCTTGGATCCTCAGACCTGAGATGTCTAGAGTATCTGATATGAGGAGTGACGTGTCTTAACTGCGTCAAACGTCGTCTTTAACCGGATGATCATAACGGCGTTGCTCAGATACGTTCACGAATCATATGCAGATAGTAGACATGCAATACGGGACTTGTCACCTCCTACGCAGGAGAGATGTCGCTGGGCCCCTCGTGGAAATCGGACTGTGAAAATGCGTGGCCACGCTATAGATGAATGTAGATCTATTTTATCAGTCGGTTTGCCTAGACGAGTAAGCGGTTGAACTTGAAGGGTGGCTCATACCATGCCCTTGTTCAACATATGACATCGTGAGACAAAGGATCAGAACTTGAACTATTGCTGGCTTTGTTAGATCACCTCTAACTCTATTCTAGGTGGGTGGTCATGGCGTCTTGCTAGAGGCTAACCATGACTTGTGGTTCGGGAAATGTTTCCGAAGCCACTGCCACTTCGAGTGGGCCTACAGGGTCACACACCATTAGGGATGGATCACACGTGAAGAGAACAACGCGAGAAAAGAGCGACGGAGCGATCTGGAAGAGTTCCAGATGGCCAGACCGTCCGGTCCAGACCTGGACCGGACGGTCCAGCCGTTCCGGAACGTTCGTTCCGCTGAGGAACGGACGAACCGTTCCGCAAATGCCAGACCGTCCGTTCCAGGTCTGGAACGGATGGTCCAGGCGTCAAGAACGTCCGTTCTACGTTATAAAACGGACCGTCCGTTCTGCGTAGAATCAGAACGTCCGTTCCAGGCCTGGAACGGACGGTCCGACTTACGGGCAGTTTTCGGTTTTCGTGTTTTAAGGGTTTTGGGCAATCCTAATTAATTGGTGAGCCGCCACAAACCCTAGAGTAAGAACCTCAGACGTCCTAGATTCTAATGAGAGCTTAGAGAAGCTTGATTTTGAGTTATAGAGATTGGAATATCGATTCCAAGTCAAGGACATCGGTTTTCTCTTCACAAATCCTAGCAGATACGTTCCAAAGCGTTGGAATTCATCCCGCCGGTGTGGATACGTGTAGAGGAGTTGTGCTTTCAACTCTTGGTGATTAAAACAGGCCCTGGATCGATTGATACTTCCAGATCCTGAAAGAACGAGGTAAGTATTCGAATCCCACGACGATATACACGATTGTTCGGGTTATTGCACAATTGGTTTTGTGTGACGTTTGGCTAGGTTTAGATCTTTCCTTCCGCTGCATGAAACCTAGAAACCAAACCCTAGATCGATGAGATCGCATGCTAGGAACCCGAAGGGAACCCAACAGTGTGTATCAGGTATATCTGCAGAGGAAGAGGGAGCAGAAATCGGATCGAGAGAAGAATTTACCTCAGACTCGACGGGTGGTGTAGGTGGAGATGGAGAGAGAGATGTATTGGTGCTGCTTGTTGAACGGTAAGCATCAGATAACAGGCGCAGAACAGTGTGGTTGTAGTTTGGAACAGGGGCAGTAATTTCGTCGAAATCAGAAATTTCGGCAGACTTGAAGTAAGAATCAGTTTCCAGGAAACGAACATCTCGTGAGGTGTATAGGCGACGTGTTGGTGGATGAAAGCATTTGTAACCCTTTTGGTTAGGAGGATAGCCAATGAAAATGCACTTTACACCCTTTGGATCGAGTTTGCTTCTTTGTTCACCTGGTATAAGAGGGTAACAAACACAGCCAAAGATACGCATATGAGAGATGTCGGGTTGTCGCTGATTAAGTACCTCATATGGAGAGACATCACCAAGGATTTTTGTTGGAAGACGGTTGATAGTGTAGCAGGCAACAGAGACTGCATCACTCCAGTAAGTTTTCGGAACATGCATTGAGAATAACAGTGTTCTTGCGACTTCAAGTAAATGCCGGTTTTTTCTTTCCGCAACACCATTCTGCTGAGGCGTGTAAGGGCAGGAGGTTTGATGCACTATCCCATTTGCTGTTGTGTAGGCTTGAAAGGCTTTGCTCATATATTCACCGCCGTTGTCCGTCCGTAAAGTTTTGATCCTTGCATTGAAGTGGTTAGTAACAAATGCATGAAATTGTTTGAAAACATTCAGAACATCAGCTTTGGAAATCAAAAAATATATCCATGTATACTTTGATTTCTCGTCAATGAAGGTGACAAAGTATTTAAAATTATCATGAGAAACACAAGGGGATGTCCAGACATCCGAATGAACCAGATCAAAGCATGAAGCATAAGTAGTTGTTGAGATCGGGAAAACGCTGTGACAATGTTTCCCTCAAATGCAGGGTTCACAGGTTTTATTATCAAACTGATTGTTCGGAAACAACAAACGTAACACCTTCGAATGGCAATGTCCCAAACGATGATGCCAAAGAGAAGAAATAACAGTTTCAACACTTGAAAAAACAGAAGCAGAAGCAGAGTGATCAGCAAAAAAGTAGAGATTATCCCGCTTGAAACCCTTGCCGAGAATAAGGCCAGTGTCAATATCCTGAAAGATCACATCATCAGCACTGAAAGTAACAGAGCAGTTTGGAAAATCAGAGGTAAGTTTAGAGATAGAGAGTAGATTGGTCTGAAAATCAGATACTAAGAATGCATCTACTTCAGTATTAAACAGGTGGAGTTTTCCTTTTCCTTGTATGGGAACATGTGAGCCATTTGCAACAGAGACAAGACCATGTATACGTTTAATTTTCTATAGCAGATTGGTGTTACTAATCATGTGACTTGTTGCACCAGAGTCTATGATTAACGTATTGACAAGAGGTGTAGAGTTAGAGGACAAATTACCGGTCTCCTTATCTTTTAAAGCAAGGAGAAGGTGCTTGAGTTCAGTCATGTCAGAAGGAGTGAGAGTGACTGAATCAGTTGTATTTGCTTTGCCTCGAACAACAGCGTGGTCTTTGAATTTTGTCGGATTGAGATGTGGATTGAGCAACCAACATCTTTCCTTCGAGTGACCCGAACGTTTGCAGTGATCACAGTAATATTGTTTCTTTTCTCTTGGAAAAGATGGGGAAGGAGGCAGAGGTGATTGAATAAACAGATGGTGGTTTTGTCGATAGTGAGCAATCTCACTTGGGCCACCGAACAGATGGTGACCACCTTCCTCACGTTTCATGAGCATACAGACATCATCATATGAGGGGAGCTTATCTTGGCGCAAGACATGATAAATCATGTCGTTATAGCTGCTGTCAAGAGTGAGCAAGATGGAGAAGATCTTGTCTTCTTCTAGACGTTGCTTAAATCCAACAATATCATTAGATGGAGGCTGGAGATCATCCAATTCATTCCAAAGAGCAGCAAACTCCCCATGAATCAGATTGAAAGATTTTCCATTCTGCTGCAGGTTAGACATCTTTTTCTTAATTTCGAAAACACGGCAGAGGTTAGACAGATTACCGTACACCTTTTGGAGAGCATCCCAGAGGTCTTTTGCCTTTTCTGGGGAGATGAACGACTTGAGAAGGTGTTCATCCAGGGAGCTCTGAAGGATTGTGAGGGCTAACTGATCGTCTTGCCCCCATTTGTTTCTTTCAGCAGTATTGTCCATTGCTGGTGTTTCAGGGTTTGTAGGCAGGGCAGGTGTCTGGGGAATCCAATCAGATTGGGTGATGTGGTTCCACAGACCTTTGCTTCGAAGGACAGCTTTGGCGGCCTTGGACCAGTAAAAGTAGTTCTCGCCATGGAGAACAACAGGAATGATCTTAGTTTGAGTTTCCATTGTCGAGAGGAAGACCAAGATCTGGGAAGAAACAGAAAGAGGGTTCTGGAACTACAATGCTCTGATACCATAAACGTTTTCAGAATTGAAGAAAGAATTTTCTGCTTGTATATTATTAATATCGAACAGAGCATACATATATGTAGGAGAGTTCTAACGTCTATATAAGCAATGACTTTGGTAAGAGATCAATCAGCATATTTACAGAATATTGAAGAGCTGATATCTTTCCTTCTTGATGTTGGTTGTTGTAGTTTTCCTTATTGAAGAGCTAGATGATTAAGGCAAGTGCGGACAGGTTCTCGGCTGACATTCTGCATCCTCGGATATCATATCAGAAACCCATGTCGTCCCACAGAAAATATAAAAACAAAAACCCTAAAAACCAAATACAAGAACCACCCAACAAAGCTTAAATAAGCTTTCACATAATGCAATAATGCTTCTACCCTTGTCCGTTCTCGGCAACTTCAATCTCTCCTCCTCCTTCTTCTCTGTTATTACCATCTTCCTTCTTCATCTTCTTCTCTTCAAGAAACTCCACGAGATTTCTCAGAGCGATCTCCGGTTTCTTACTGCCCATTAGCTGTTGCGTCACCTCGGCGGGAGTTGCATTCACGTCGACAAGAAGCTTCTCGATGGGTTCGAACAGTTCGTGGCCGTCTGTTTTGAGGTACAGAGCCGCGAGTTTCCTGAACACGAACGGAGTGCAATAGTCCATGAGAATGTGAACGTCCATTCTTCCAGGTCGTAACAGTGCTGGATCGAGTTTGTCTTTGTGGTTCGTCGTGAAGATTATGATACGTTCTTCCCCACAGCTCGACCATAACCCGTCCACGAAGTTTAGCAGACCGGACAGTGTAACCTGTCAAAGGATCACCAAAAGGTTAAGATCACAGAGAAAACATACGTGCGTCTTTCTGGTTTTGCTTCCCGGTTTATCAATAGAATTCCGGTTTAGTTCTACAGTTCGTTTTCGGTCTTCACAATCGATCAAACCAGTAAACAAGATCCATAGTCTTGTATCTGAGCATTTGGAGTATTCTGAAAATACCCGAAGTTCGGGTACTCGATTGCCACTGATCCAACGAGGGGCTTCGGACCCCAATATCCGAGAGGTACAGGTTCGAGATCGTGCACCCCACAATCTCAGATATGAGATCGATGCCCAATTTTGACTCGAAACCTTCTCCACATGTATCCTAACGTTCGGATATCCTGATGATATTCGAAATTCAGGTATCCAAATTCTATGATGGACTCCGAAAGATTCAAGTTCGGAGACGGATTTCCAAAATATCAAATACCCAATTGTTAAAGAGACTTTCAGTTTTAAACCACAATATGGGACTGAAAGGGACAAGAACCAGAACCGCTAAACCAAACACGGAAGACAGGAATCGCTTACCCCAACGTCAAAATACTTCTTCTTGCGCTTCCTCCGGCGATCTTCTCCGTCACCCTCACCAGCTTTCTCCTCCGAATTCATGCTTTCCCGCTTGCGTGAAACGTCGGCGCTACAATCAATGTCCTCAATGAGCAGAATAGACCTGTTCTTGGTCGATGTGAGGATCTCTCTCAGCTCAGCATCGTCCCTAACGCTCTGAATCTGCAGATCATAGATATGATACTTCATATGATTAGCAATGGCGGCTACAAGGGAAGATTTTCCCGTCCCTGGAGGCCCGTGGAGGAGATAACCCCGTTTCCACGAGCGACCGACGCTCTTGAAGAAGTCTTTTCCGCGGGAAAACGCATCGAGATCTTCCAAGAGGAGGTTCTTGAAGTGGGTTTCAATGGCGAGAGTGTCGAAGGTCGTGTGATGTTCGAAAACGGCGCCTTCCCATTTGGACCGGTCTTGGTTGTAAGTGTAGATCTTGAGATTCTCTCGTTTGTTCATGATGTCCCTTGCTAGTTTCGCCAAGTGAGGCAAGTACTCGTTCATGATCTTGTCGCGGTGCTCTTTCTTACACGTCAGATGAAAGTACCTGTCATCATTCCAAGAACACATCAGTTGCTCTCCTTCGTTTTCTGTCATTTTCTCACATTTTCCATCCAACCAAACAAGTTTCTCAAGTACGAAAAACTCAAACGATCATTTATTGGATCTTAAAAAGATGAACATTGGAAAGGAAAAGAGGGTTTTTGATCTCTGTCGTTTTCTCTCATTTTCCATCCATCCAAACAAGTTTATCGATAGTAAACATGTGAAGAAATAACCCTGTATCCTCCGACCGACTTTCATTTTCTGGTCATTTTCTCATAGTTTCCATCCAACCAAACGAGTTCTCAATCTCAAACCTCAAAAGTCAAAATCCAAACATTCAGGTTTCAACTTTTGAGGACGTACCTTTTCTCGGGCAGGTATTTCTTGGTCTCCACGGAATGCAGAGTCCATGCCACTCGAATCCCTTCGTACTCGTCCACGATCTTGGTGTCGACGGGTATTCCGAGCTTCGGAGAAGCCGCCGGATTCTTGAGATTGCTCGAACCTACCATAAGTTTTCCGGTGGAAAGTCCGGCGAGACGTGTCGGCAAGTAAACTTCCGCCGCACGGAACGTCTGGTTCTCGACGAACTCCCACCTCTGCTCGATCACGAAGGTGAAATTCGACTGGAAGTACGAGGAGAAGACATCCACGAGCTTCATCGCGATGTATTCTCTGATTCTCTTGGGTACGATCTCGTTCAAGATCGTTCGGAGAAGCATCGTGATGGCGGAGAAAGACGTGTACAGAGAGAAGATCGCAGATACCGAAGGAACTTGGTTGTATAAAGACGCCATCTTTTTTGTTTTCTGTAATAAAATGATTTGAGTTTAGAGGAAGAGGAAGACGATGATGAAGAGTTTAGTGGTGAACCTATATATACATAAATATATATATATATATATTACGAGGTGAAAGCGAGAAAATTTCACTCTCGGGAGGGAAAGTGCGAGGAAACTGCCCGCGTGGATGAAAATGAGACGGTGGTGGTGGAAGAACACGTCATTTAGGTCAAGCAGAAAAGGACAAGAGTACGTGAGTCATATATTAAAGAGAGACTGCACGAGTCTACTTTTGTTATATATTATGTATGTTTGTATAATTATTATATTTTTTTAACAGTAGGAACTCAATCGCAACCTTTCGGGGACGCGATGATAATCAACAAAATTAAAACTTAAATTCACCAAGAATCAAAATAGTGTTAAACAACTTTTGACGGATTGATTTTTTTAAAACATTATTGATTAAAAATTAATTTTTTTTATTAATATATTTATTTATATTTAGTAAAAAAAAGTATAATCAACAAAATTAAAACTTGTAATCAACTCTTGTGTGGGGGTTTATAATTTTATGTCCGAAATGATTTTGCGCCTTTCACACCATAATTAGTCATCGTTTTTCTCCATTTTGGTAAATATCATGTCGAATTTATTTCTGATTTGATATGTGTGTGTTGTATAACTATGTTTAATGCGTAATTATAATTAATTTTGGACCAACGGAGGAATTAAAAAAGCAGTTTATATTATATAAAAAAAAGCAGTTTATATGATGCAATGTGATTGTGTGGTTTATAAAACATTGTCCGATGTGCAACGAAACTTCATCCAGACAGACAGAGCGTCCCAAACGATTTAGAGACTCTGTAAATTTTTTTTATAAAAATATTAAATAATTTGTTAATTATATTAATTGAAAATTTAATTTAAAACGTCATAAACATAACCCAAAAATTGTAATTATTAACGATGATCATTACGAAATTTTATGTCAAACATAATTTTAATTATTTATCATATATATTAATAAATATAATTACAAATTAGTATTTTAAAAATCATTTTTTAAAATTTAAAATGTGGACCCCATCGAATTGTGAGTCCCCTCTGCTCTTGCTCCACTTGCATGTGTCTTTTTACGGCTCTGCATACATACGTATATATGTACGTACACGTTGGAGATTGCGGGTGAAGATAATATTTTGGCATGTCTAATTTCAGAAGATGGAAAAACGAAACGGGGAATGAATTGGGACCTTGTTGGCTGAGGAGAGCGGAAGATTTTCGAAGAGGGGCAAGTGGGGCCCCGGCTTGTTATGATGTATAAAAAGACCGCAACAAGCAACGGCCCACATTTCGCCGAATTCGGGATGGTCGGTGGTTATATGAATAAGATGGAATTAACGAATTAATCAAAATCATATTAGCGTTGTACATTTCATTTTTGGTTTATTGTAAAGAAAATTGAACCGAATGAAAAACAGAAAGGGTAAATTTGTTCCCGAATCAAATTTGTTAAGTAATTCGAACAAATATAAAAATAACAAAGAAAAAACATAATAATATTTTTTTAAAATAAATGTTGTCCTAATAAAACTGAATTCTAACTAAATTCAAACAAGATGCAACCAAAATATAACTAAAACCCGGAATACTTCACCCTATGTTGTAGACTGAACAGTTTAGAGTTTTTTTTTTTTTATAGACACATAATATCTAATTCACGTAATTGTAGACTGAACATTATTTTTTTTGGTAAAGGTAAATGAATTGATAATAAAAATGTAGTGTTATATGCTTAAATTCACCAAGAATCAAAATAGTGTTAAACAACTTTTAACTGATCGATTTTTTTGAAAACCTACTGATTTCGTTTGTTTATCAATATTTACGCAGTTCTAAATTCAAATCTTAAATTTAGAGAAATGACGTATATTCCAAATCATATGTTGATCTTCAATTCCGAGATTAATATAGATTATGGTTCAGGATATTTTATTTGGTTATTCAAAAAAAAATTATGTTTCTGTTATAATGATAGCTTTTTGTTTTTATCTACGTGTAGATCTATTTTTTGGATAGTTTTATAGGTTTGTATTAAAAATAAATGTATTTTTATTGATATAGTTTATATTTAGTAAAAAAAATTATAATCAATAAAATCAAAACTTATATTCAACTCTTGTGGGCGTTTATAATATGATGTCGTAAATGATTCTACACCTTTCACACCATAATCTGTTATCGTTTTTCTCCAATTTGGTAAAAGATCACATCTAATTTATTTCTGATGTGATGTGTGTAACATTGTGTTTACTAGAGATACAACTTTTGGTTGGTGGGAAGTGTTGTATAACCATGTTTAATGCGTAATTATAATTAATTTTGGACCAACCGGAGGAAGTAAAAAGCAGTTTGTGATGCAATGTTATTGTGTGGTTTATAAAACAATATCCGATGTGCATACATACATACATACATACATACATACATACATACATACATACATACATACATACATACATACATACATAATTTCAGAAGATGGGAAAAACGAAAAGGGGAATGGATTGGACTTGTTGGCTAAGGAGAGCAAAAGATTTTCAATGAGGGGCAAGTGCGGGTGGGGTTTTGTTATGATATATAAAAAGACCGCAACAGCAACGGTCCACATTTCGCCAAATTCGGGATGGTCGGTGATACGAATAAGATGGAATTAACGAATCAATAAAATCATATTAGGGCTCTACATTTCATCTTTGGTTACCGAATGAAAAATGAACAAGGTAAATTTGTTCCCGAATCAAATTTGTTAACTCAGTTCGAACAAATAAAAAATAAATATGATAGATATGTTTTTTTTAAAGAAATATTGTTTTAATAAAACGGAATTTCGAATTAAATTAAAATAAAATGAAACCAAACTTAAAAAAATAATTGAACCAAAATATAACTAAAACCGGGGAAACTGCACCCTATATTGTAGAATGAACAGTTTAGAGATTTTTTTATGGACACATAATTGTAGAAGGTGAAGAATTGCAATGTACAAAGTATGTTCACCACTTTTGAGTTTGAAGCTCTTTAAATTAAGAAGGGAATAATTTATATTTATAAAATTTTATTATCAAAGACCCACTTGTGGGACGATCGATATATATGGCCAAAATTTACGAAATGACATTACAAACGCAATAGAGGGAAAAAAACAAAAAACTTGTGAAATATTGAAAAGTATATATATAATACCATGAGCAGACCTAGAGAAATGTATGGAGGGGAAACAATTTTATAAATATAATTTTACAAATTTTTATTTTTATTTTTTTGGGGTATCTGATATTTTTATCTATAATTTTATAAAATTTATAAGAAAAATTAATATATATTTTTTAATGATAGGGGCTGTGATTCCATTCCCTACCATGTGGGTCCGGCACTGTATAATACCAAAGTAATGATAGAAAAGATTGGTGAATTTAATTATTGTTGGGGATGATAATTGTTGACGACGTCAAAACTCTGTCAATTCGAATGATTCTAGATAAGTAATTGAAATAAAAGATTCTAGATAAGTAACTCCGGGAATTCGAATGATTCTATGAAACACAGTTTCTTTAAGTTCGATTTTCGTGCCACTCAAAAGCTTCGAGACTATTGGAGCACGGTGAACTCCCAGGATACAACGACCGTGTATTTGGAAGAAGCTTTCCAAATACCAAGCGAACTCTAAGAGAGATATGAGCAAATATGTGAATGTTCTTTTTTTCTCTAGAATGCTTGTGTTTTTTCTGTGTTGAATGAACTAACCCAAGACCCCTATTTATAGTAGAGGGGAGAATGTCAAAATAAAATCAATTTGATTTTCAAAATTCAAATTAGATTTTATTTTGATATTATCTCAATCATATCTCAATAATATTTGATAGATTTTCTACATATTTGAATCCGATTTGAATTTCAAAATTAATCAAGAATATTCTCTCAATATTCTGCAGATTTTTATTAAAGTTTCTAGAACTTTCCACAGACCGGGCTTCTCACGGGGTAGTCCCGTTTTGATTCTATCAAATAAACCCAAATCCAACAATCTCGCACAAGAATCAAAACAGGGTCTTGAGTTAGGTGAACCTAAATGCATCTCATGCAACTAATGCATTGTATGCAAATGAAATGCAAAATTCTCTCATAGAGAGTTTACTGTATCCAGAAAGATAGTTTTACCTTTGAACCTTCTGTAGTGAAATACTATCGGATGTACTTGCTAAACAGCGAACGTGATGTCTTGAACTATTCAGCTTTTGTATACACCAAGACAACAATACTCACGCAACACCCTCTCTCTCTCTCTTCCGTTAGTCCATTTGTTGCGCCCATTATGGCCCTGGGACAGCACCTGGTAGATTTCATCAAGTACTCTAGAGAATTAGCCCTTTTGTCATTTTCATAGAAGCGGCCCACTTCATACTTGATATAGGAGATTTCTTTTTGAGAATATCTCAATATTCTTCACTCTTGTAGGAGATAAGAGAATCTTTAAGAGTATAAACTCAATCTTACCAATTTGTATCATTCTTATTATAGAAATGTGAAGAGACATCAGTCTCGAGAGTGATCCCATCGATCCCCCCACAATTCGGTTGTCCCATTGAACCTAACACTGGTGGTTTGTCCAGATAGGTTGGGTTGCCATCATGGTGGTTTGTCATTCTATGGGCTTTAATCTCATTTCCCTCGATAATATTTCTACCTGATCTCTGTTAAGGTCTTTGATTAGATGATCATCCAAAATATCTTTTGATCTCACAAAATCAATAGATATGACACCATCTGTTAGTAATTTTCTAACGGAATTATGTCATATATGGATGTGTCGCGACTTTCCCTTATAAACATGCCTTTTTGCCCTTCCTATTGCAGACTCACTATCGCAATGTATGCAAATTCCAGACACCGGTTTAGGCCATATAGGAATATTCTCAAGAAAGTTTCGAAGCCACCCAGCTTCTTCACCAGCAAGGTCTAAAGCTATGAATTCAGATTGCATAGTGGATCTTGCAATACACGTTTGCTTAGAAGATT